TCCCTTGTGTCTCCTTTGAAAGAGCCACTCCCCGAATTTCTTTTCGGTGTCATAACCGGAAAATATGACTTCCTTGCCATCGGCGTACTGTGCAATACAGTAATTTGCTATATGTATTCCACCCTCCGACTGATCGGCTTCAAAATCGAAAAATATGTATTTTCCTGAAGGATGGGCTTCATATCCTTCCCTGCACGATGACAGAGATGACTGGAATCAACCGGTTTTTTACAACCCTTGCAGACATGGTCACCACATCGATGTTTATCCTGAGGGATTTGTTTGGTCTCGAAAATTCGATGACAGTCACCGCAGTACCAACTCCTGTTGCATGTTACTGCATGTTCCTGCGTGCAAACCGTATTTCTACAATATTTCCTGCAGAGAGAGCAAAAGGAAGCGGATTCATATTTCCGGCATTCATCCCTCCCGCATGTGCTGCAGTGATGCTCGCAGTGATGCTCCCACCTCTTCTCATATCCTTTATCACAATTGTGACAATACAATTTACTACCAGTGATCCCTGCCATTGAGGTGATAACATCATAATGATGCTCACCCACCATCCTCGCCCTCTCGTATCCAGAGATAAATCTTTATCTCTCTCTCGGGACCGCGATAAGAAAACTTGTTCCCATCATGGAGGTTGATTATATTTATTTGGATTCTTAAATGGTCCTCAAACTGCCGAACCTCCATGATTCCGCATTTTCCGAGGAGTACGCCTGCGTCCTCGTGAATATCGTGAGCTAGTTTCTCCTGCATAGGGCGTCGCGAGTCACAAATATATTTGGTTTGAGGGTCATTAGTGACTTTAGCATGCGCTACAACGATACAGATTTCGTCGTCATTTTTTATTTGGATGATTGATTTTTTTTAGCTTCATGGCTTCATCTGGATTGATTATCCGAAATCCTGTGCCTCCTTGAGGATCGCGAACTAGCAAAAAATCCAGAGTGAATGATCCATCCAACTTCATTTCTTTGTTGGACTGGATGTGCTTTGTGATCGTGGTCAGGATGAGTTCAGGACTCATATCCTGAACCCTGACTACTTGGGTGGATATGGCGTGATCCATTCCGTCAGAGATTATTCCTGCTCTGATAAAGTCTCTAGGTTGGACACTTATTGGACTGGATATGCTTTGTGATCGTGGTCAGGATCAGTTCAGGACTCATATCCTGAACCCTGACTACTTGGGTGGATATGGCATGATCCATTCCGTCAGAGATTATTACTGCTCTGATAAAGTCTCTAGGTTGGACACAGTCAGTAATCTCTCTCAGAATTTCTCCGATTGAGAGGTAGAGGGATGCCATGATAGATGGGATGGGTGATCCTGAGAATTCGCTTTCTTCGAAGCGAGCTGGAAACAATCTCTGGAGTGCATTAAATCGTTTGAAATTGTTATTTTCAATTTCTTCGATGGTGAATTCGATGATCGGGACCCGATCATCGTCAATATTATGCTCATCGTCACTCTCGCGTCGTCTTCTCTCTCCTCGACCTTCCATGTTTTCCAGATCACGGAAGAGTTGAGGGTCCTCCTCACATATGTGAATAGCCCCCCACTCCACCTCTCACCAAACTTGAAGCACACTCGTTGGATCTAAGAGGACCGATGAATGTCAGATTCAACTTAAGACTGTCTCAGCAGACCAATGCATTTTTATACTCGAGGACGTGTTTTTTGTTTTCGCTGTTTTCCGTTTTTAAGGTGCCTGATTATCCTTAAGACACAACTCCTTCATTGTCTCCTCTCAAAATACAGATACAATAAGATATGCTGTTTTCCTCTTTCTTTTGATGTTCAACCATGTTAAAAATCTGCACATTTCAGCCATAATTTTTCTGATTTACGGCGCCTGCTCATCCTTAAAACACGATTCCTTTATTGTCTCCTCTCGAAATACAGATACAATAAGATTTACTGATCTTCTATTTCTTTTGAGGTTCAATCATGGTAAAAATCTGTCTTTTTCAATTTTAATTCTCTTTACTTGCTTTGAAAAATATTTTTGAAGAACGGGATATTAACTGCTATTGAAGATTCCAGCAAAACAGGCTGTTATTGTTTTTCCCAAAAAGAGGACAATAGTGGTTATTTGCGAGAGGGATATGAAAGAAATTGTCTCGGAAGGGAAGGGAAATTCAGGGAGTTTACGTCCCTCTCGCTTCAGTTCAGAGTCGGACGCCACGCGTTGGAGAGCAAGCATCTGTGACTACTACCATGACCACGAATGAATCCACTTCCATCTTTTCTCCATCTCGCCCGCTGTAAGTAACTGACTTTCTCTCATCTCTTTCCTGCCAGACGTTAACATGTGCTCCAACTAAAATCCTAATGTTGTCCTCAGATCTCGGACACTGACAGTCACGGACGATACGGTTTTACGGACCAGTGTAGAGTATGACGGGGTAGGACTCAGACTGGGAAGGAAGGACTCAGACTGGATGCGATTGACCCTCAGAAAAGAAACTTGCTCATAATAGACGATCTCATGACTGACATCAAGAACGATAAGGAGATAACGAACCTGTTCACTAAAGGAAGCCACCACAAGAACTCGTCCGTGATTCTCATTCTACAGAATCTGTTTTATCAGACTATTTCCTGTGCTCAAAGGATGCATAGATGTTTGTATGGAAGAAACTTTGTCATTCTATTGATAGCTGTTGTTTAAGAGGTGTCCCAAAATTGCAACCAGCTGTGCTTTTTTTGCTTCAGCCGATATTAGCAGATGTACCCCGGAAATGTCGGCTTCATACAAGATGCGTTTCGACAGGCCACAGAAGTTCCATATGGGTATTTATTTGTGGATTTAAAACAGTCGACCTCAGACCAGTTTCGACTACGGTCGTGCGTGCTTCCCTACGAGCAAACTATCGTTTTTGTGCCTAAATGACGTCCTTGCCGAGTCAAAAGGTGTTACCCTCACTCACTCATTGCAGATGCAGCAGTCTTGCTAACCGACATGATTGGAGAGAAATATCGACTACGTAAGAATTTAAAAACGTTTGATGTGATATTATTGTATGGCATAAAAATGGTAAGAGCATGGATGCTCTTTACGAGAGTATGAATCGTATGGATGGGGTTAATTATATTAGGTAGGGTGAGGTGGGGTAAAAGTAACCTGAAAAACACATAAAACACATAATCTTGCAGGATGATAGAAAAAATACTAGCAAAAATATTTTCACAAAAATTGATTGCTACCCTCTTCAAACAGTGAAAAAATCTTTTTCAACGACTTCCAGAACTTGAATCTGAACCGGATCCTCCAGAAACATCATTTTTAAAAGCCTATTTGCATGTTACTTTTGCCCCATGGGATGGAGTAAAAGTAACATTGCTGCATCAGTGCCGTTTCATAGCACTGAGACGCAAAAGGAGCTACTGTAAATTCACTCCGCATTATGTGGATGAATTGTGGAAATTTTCAGATAATATGGTCGGAAAATGAAGCAACAGGAGCAGCCATTCTCTGCTGAATTTTAAGCCTGCAGGAATTCCCTTTATTTTGGAATAAAAAGATGAAGCAAAAGTCCTCTCTTCCACCCCACTTGCACTAATCTCTTAAACTTTCTCATTTTCTTTATCCTCGTGTTCTATCCTCAAAACCAGCTCAGAAATCTGCAATTCTGTTTGCTTATGATGGACACCAATAAAAGTAATATCTTTCACACCTATCAACAAAGAGAAACTCAGATCATAAATTTTGCTGGACTCCTGAACGATGCTTTGACAGGAGCATCTGGATGGTGCTCTCAGAACACCATACAATGTTGACGTAATTTTTCTGTTCGTTACAAGATTCTTATTGGTATTCACAGCAGTTGCAAGATTTCCATGGTGCGTTTCCCCGCACCCCTCTCACTTTTCCTTTTGTAAGTGCGAACTATTATGAAGCCTGTAAGAAGCCTCATGCACAATACCCAGTCGTGCATACATTTTCCCCACAAATTGACTCATGTACCAAAGTTAGCTGCACTTGAAATGTTGCATGTGCGATGTTACTTTTGCCCCACGGCCCAACTTTCCATGAGGCAAAAGTAACATTGGACTCAACAAATGATGTGCTAAGGCCTAAGTCCGCATTTTGAGATCATGAGGTTGATATTAAGATCAGGTAGCACATGTAACATTTTTACCATTTTTAACTTCATTAGTCGGGATGAAAAATGAAATTGCAACAGAAGAGAAAAAAATTGGATTCCTAATTTTCTTACAACGGTGCGCAAAATTGAAGTAAACATATTCTTAGCCAATCACAGAGAAGCTCAAAATATGTGATATGAAGGATGAAAAGTGGCATGTTATGGACACAAAATTAGGAAACTGTATCTAAAGTACTTGATGAAATACAAAGCATTGTTACAATTACGCCATTGTTACTTTTGCCCCACCTCATCATAATGTGCGAAATGGTGAGATATGAATAATATTAATATGTGTGTAAAAGAGCACGCTTTTTATTATGGATAGAAAATGGTGTGAAATTTGGTGCGATAGGATTAAAGAAAGTGTGATTATACCCATTTTCAAGGAGAGTAAAGTATAAATATTGCGTATTACTTAGGAGTATGTGCATTAATAAGTGATTAATTTTTGCAGTTACTTTTTTTGTAAAAAGAAAGGTGCAAGTTGGAGAAGAAACGCAATTGAGAGCTCTGGCGAAAGACATATCTAAACCCATTTCATGACCGCTTTTCGACTCAGGAATTTTTAAACGAAATTTCTTAGCGTCGATCTAAATTCCTCTGACACTATGAGGGTTAAATGCAATGAAGCATTTTCTCGAAATTGTTTCCCGAAACATCTCTTGTCCTGCGGCTCTTTGAACAAAGTGTCTGCACCGGCTCGTGATGCGCGGGGAACCACCCGAGATCGGAGAAGCAGCCGTAAGCAGCCGGAAAAGCAGGGGAACTGCTTTTCAGCGATCCAGCGGACGTTCCTCAGCCATTCATTCTCATCGACGAAAACGAAGGGACGAGATCGACCAAGGACCTTGACTGCGAACGCCGTCAGCCACATGGAACTCTCATCTCCAAGCATTCCCTCATCTCCGAATGCAAAGTACGACCAATCCAATTTGGCTCGGAAGTCTATCTCAATTTGATGCCCTGGAAAACTGAATTTTGAGCTTATTCAATCCAAAAAGCAAGAAGGGAGACGGAAACACGTGGATGTGATGGATCGAATGGTCAGACTAGCTCTCCTTTTACTTTCTAATAAGATTTCAAGCTGCGATGAAATCGATTGAAGACAGAAAAGTGCAAATAGGTGTCAAGGTACAAACAGGTATTAGGTAGTTAGGTAATTAGGCCACAACACAAAAATTCCTACAGCTAAGCTTCCATAGCACGCCTACCCCTCTTGTGACATAGGCTAGCAGCATGCAAGCACATGCACACTTCAGAGGTGTTCATGCGACAAATGCCTAGTTTTTCGAATATTCCTGCGACATGGCCCATCACTGAGTACACGCCCTGACCAGGCCCATCACTGGGTGTTTTACCCTAGCTGCTATCACTCTATTGTTTATAACTTCTGATCCCATGGGAATACTAAGTTGAAATTTTGAGAATTAATGCAGACGAAATTGCAAATGTTATAATACATTTTCGAAGGAGATAAAAATGACATTTTTACTGGAATTAAAGGTCAAAGGTCAGACCCTTTGACCTTTTGAGATTTAATTTCATTGAATGTCCTTGAGTTACATATCTTATGAGAAGACCTTTAAAATGACACTAATATCAGCTTTTTATGTTGATTAGAACAAAGGCTATGGACATTTAAGTGATGACGACATGACCCGAAATGAGTCACTTTTTGCTTTTATATTGCTACATCGCTTGAAGTCCTTGAGGTAGAGAGCTGCAATTTGACATGAATTTTTTTCAATATCTCCTACAAACTCAGCAAATTTAATGGAAATTAGAGGGGGTCAAGTAAATGGCTGTGTTGATTTGACGTGAAATGACCCGAATTATAAACCTGGTGGCACACAAAGTTTATCATTCTCCGAGACTGGTGACGCGAACCATCTAAATGATTAGCACAAGTACTGCCTGACTTTAAGCAAATACAATCCCTTAAATACACCAATAATTTTCTGAGATAGGACTGAAAAAATTTACTGGTTTCAACATCCGCGAGCTGTCCATCTCCCGTGATCGATTGCGCATTACTGCAGGAGAGTTGCTGTTGGTAGTGAGCTGCAATATTTTCGAGTAAATTATTGAAAAAACGCAGAATGCGACTGAAGATATTAATGAGACTGAAGGTATTAATGCTATGGAGAATGAGAGTGATACTTTCTCAGTATTCAGGGTATAGTTCCTTTCGACGTCACATCATCCCACTCGATGACATGGAACTGTTCCAGTTCGTCCCAGATCGAGTAGTTCAAGGGGTTCAAATCGGGACTGTTCGGTGGCCAATGGTCTTCGTTGATAAAAGAGGGGAAATTGTCTGGACACCACTGGTGAAATATTTGAAGAGTGTGCTGCCTCGCACCATGTCCTTGGAAGGTCGAGTCGTCGCCGAAGATCTCCTTGCTGTATTTGAGGACCGCCGGAAGCACTTCTCGCTTGTATCGAGCGTGATCGACCGACCCTTTCTCGAAGATGACCGGCGGTGTCACACCCTTCAATCAGGCCCCGAGCCAGACTATGACCTTCTGAGGAAACGACCCATGACCTATGACCTCCTGGCCACGCGTTTCCTCCGTTTCAACCGACCCTTTGAACGGCTGTCTTCGATCGAGCCGCGCGTGGACACCCAGGGGGACTCGACAGTTCGATGGAGCCAGTTTCGGAGGTCGTCTTGCACCGTCGCTCGATCGTGGGAAGACCCGGGGCGCGTACAAATCCCGGAGGATTTTTGCTGGATCGTCTCCATTTTTCGCGTTTAGAAAGATCGAGGTTCGGGAGGTCTTTACTTGTCATGATCTGAAAGAGAAACGCTGCGAGCATATGCAAAACCAAATGCACTGCTTTGGAGAGAATTGAATGAAGAATAATAAAAAAATTCAAGTCTAAGCGACGGAATATGGATAATATATATTTACGGAATACTGGCTCCGCCATTTATTCTGCCGCACCCGTTACATTCCACAGCTCATCGTATTATTTAATTTTTTTTAAAGTTTGGGAATGATTCAATCGATTCTGACAATTGATCGACACTGCGTAGAACACAAAGAGTCTTGGTTTCCATTCAGCTGACCGGCCAGAGAAAAAGAGAAACTTACCGCACAGATACCAGTTCTTCATGTCTTCCACGGGATATCCTTCCGATTCCACTCGAATCTGTTTTTCGACGGAGTCTCTGAAACGGAAGCATACGTGTTTCGAAATGTAGAGCCGATTGCACGTGACGCGAATGGTCGAATGGTTCTGATACACGAAGTTCATCAGGCAGTGACGTCATCAAAGGCGTCGTTTCTTCGCGTGCAAACTATAGGGTGCCCAGTAGAAGACCAAAGGATTGCAATAAGCACGCCCTTAACAACGAAATGATGTTTTCTATGGACAAGTACACATCTATATTTACAGCATCAGGGATACCGCGTCTTCGAAGGAGTCATGATAATCACGGAGGACATTTTGAATATTTGTAAATCCTTTGTGAGTAATCTTGAATAAATCCTTTAAAAAAATAAATCCTTTGGTTTTCTATTGGGCACCCTGTAGAACTGTGTTCGCAGTCTGCTCCTAACGAGGACGAACTCATACTCCATCTTTGCGAATTGAAAACGATAATTTAATGAACGAAATCCGACGAAAGTGTCGACCGAAGTGATGACTGTTACAGAGCACTATGTGAAATAGCTGCACAGTAGTTCCAACGCGTCCTACAAGGTTAACAAAGGCAAGCGCCAAGGGGATTGGGGGAACTTTCACCTGGAATTCCCCGAATTTCATCCTTGAGCCTCAACGCTTTTCAAGATCCTATCTTGCTGGCAGAGGAGTCCTTTCCAATGAGCTTATGATAAAAATCAGGAATTATCTTCTTTTCCCTTCTCTCAAGTTGTCAGTAGAAACAATAAAGTCGGCAAATAAAAAAAAAATCACTTCAAGGCACAAGGGGGGGCTGGAAAATGGTGGGTGGAAATGGCTACAAATGTATCAGCTGGAACTGTAACACCTCCTAACTTATTGGCATTGGCATCTCCCAGGATGTCCTATGTCTCCAAAGATTTGCTCAAAAGATTGACTTCCTTTTGCCCTGTAGAGAAATCCATGTTTTACTACTAGACCATGCACGATATCATGCCAGTAGTGACTTTGTTTCCTAATTCTAGTACCGAGAAGCCTGGACTTTGGTTTTCCCTTCAAGGACTCAACGGTGTTGAATTTTTGGATGATCCATTCAACCTGAAGCGTCTTCCCGTCAGAACAGGAAATGACAAAGGGAGATGACGTCTTGGGATCGGAACCTGACCCCTGGTATCCGTGACTCATGATGACAACGACGCAACAGTCTCCATGCTTGTGTTCTGGCCTCTTGGAAAACTCGTCCAGATTCTTTTTCATTTCCTGATATCCAAACGCTATAGTATTCTGAGAATAAATTAACACCTTCCAGCTTCAATTTCTTCCCGCAGCTTTGCGTTAATCTTGCTCAAGAACAAGCATCCTCAAAATGTGTTAATATTATCATATTGAGGTTTAAGGACATTCCAAGGTTTGCTGCCAATCGTGCCATTCAAATGGTAACTCCTTACAAACGATAATTTTAGGTTTCACAAGGCTCAGTCTTCATAAATTCGGGGGTACAAATAAATATTGTTATTTGCTGAGAAAGTTTGAACCTCCGTGGCTTACTTCGAGATTCAGGTCATCTTTCACTGTGACAGTGAAATGAAGTTTCTTCTCAAGTAATTTCTTCATATCCCTCCTGTCAAATTCTGACCCTTTCCTCTTCAGGTTTGGATAGTCAAATTCCTTTATGTTGATGATCATCGCTTGGCCCCGATGAGGTGAGGTCATCCTGTACTTCTCCTTGAAATCGAAATAACGGAAAGTGAAGACAGAGAAAAGCACCTGACATTTGTCAATTTCACCCCTATAGTAGACATGAATACGATCGGATTTCTTAAAAAAAAATTCCCTTGTACTATTACTTGTGCTAGTCGTTGACGTTTTATTCACTCACCGAAGGGTCAGAGGTTTCCTTGGCAGGGACAGAAATGGCACCACCTCCATCCGGCGAATCTACGCCCGATCCTGCTCGGGAAGAGAGAAAGACTGGCCTGAGCGACGGGCTCTGACAACTTTCGACGAGGCACCAAGCGAACCTAATCTGTGACTCATCACAGATGCGAAACATCATAGTTGGTTTTTCGAGCAATTTCAATGCAATTGATCTTTGATGACCATGACCGATGGGACATTTCCAAACGCAATCAATATTTTTGCGACAACACAGATATTCGTCTATTCAAATAACCATGAACCCCAAGAAGAGTTCGAGTTTGGTAACTCCTCACAATCGAAGTGAGCTTCACGCTGAATAAATTGCCAATTCTCTTCTTCAAGATGGCTTCCCTCTCCGTTTCCTTTTAGATGAGTTTCAATTTCCCAATATTTTCCTGCGAAAAATATTCCAAGCGGATCCAGAAACTTGCATCGATCTTTTGTTGGATACTTTGGAATTCCACTCATACTGTAATCTTCAGTTGAACAAATAAGAAAGTTAGGCGTTATCTCATCGATGAACTTGTCCGCGCAAATCATAACCTCTCTGCGCTTGAAAACTTCCCTCATGTGAATCAGCCGCAGAGAAATCGGGTCACCCATGGTGCTATTTTGTAAACTGTATTACTAAACCAATCCGTTAAAACTCAAATTGAGTCACCTTTTGAGCCTACCAAATATAATCAGAATTGGAACCCTATAATATGATTGAAAACTCATAAAAATTGGTAGCTTTTTTTGCCCACCCTGTGGATAAAATGTGGGAAAGGCCAACTATGAACTTGGAAAGCGTAGACCATGCGATGGAGACAGTGTGATACTCCACTTTATGGTTTTATATACCTTTCCTCGAAAGATTAGATCGGTTTTTCGCTCTTAAGGGCGCTCTTGTGTTCATGTTCTCCCCTGCCAATTCTCATCCACGATGGGGTTCCGTCGCTTCCACTTCCCTTCAAGAATGGAATAGTATGTGCAGCAGGGTGTCTGCAGTTTTCTTCGTATCGTATCGTCTCTGCACGTGACAGGGAGGAGTAAGGATGGAAGGGTTCAATTATTGCGTCAAAGTACGAGGGTTAAATGAAAAATAATGCTTCTACTTCCATAATTTTTCAACTGATAATGCTAGTAGCGTGAAAAGTTTTGACATGTTCTATGACTCATTGTCTGGCGCCCCAGTCATTGGCAAGTCGTTATAGTAAACGGTTGTTTTTTCGTTGCAGTTGAAATGGAGACTTCCCATAACCCACTCGTCATCGCAATTTAAGCAACGTGCTGTAATCGAATTTTTGACCGTGGAAGGATTGGCTCCGATTGATAGTTTGTTGAAATCTTCCAAGGGTCGGCTAGTTCCTTGCATTAGTTTAAAATGACGTTAAGGGCTCTATTCCACACTTGTTTCAAGTGAAGACCAAAGATCATACGAGGTGTCTCAAAGCTTGGAATTGAGAATTTGTAACGTAGGATCACGTCATGATCATCGACAATAAACAGACCCTAACAACTGAAAGGGACCATCTCGTGAGAAATTTCGAGGATACGAATCCGTGTCGGTCCTGCCTTTCGGGCTATCTCCTGGGCAGAAGGAAGGACGAGAAAGGTCGAAAGCATGAGAAAGACGGAAAGACCCGTCAATCCGGCCTTCACTAAAGAGCTTTCTTTGGACTCCGAATCGACTCTAAATGGGTACGAGAGGAAGGAAATCGGTGTAATCCCCTCAGCCTACCATCAAAATCTAAAAAAAAGCCAGCCGAACTATGATAATGTATGTGTGAAAACCACTTTTGCATGCAATGACCCAGGGCGAGTGCTCAGAGCTCGTTGGACGCAGCGGAGGCGAATCATTTCCTGCCTCCCATTTCACCTCTAGCTGCACTGTCCGCTTCACAGCAAAGACCTCGCCTTCATTTGAGCGAGTGTGCTTTTTGAAGAATCTGTGCGGATGACGGGGAAGACTCCATCACGCTCTAGTGTTGCGCAATAATGGAGAGTTCACGCTGGCGAGATATCGTTACCTCGGATTAATGTATGCTCTGAGTCACACTCAAGGATAATTTTCATATCGCGTGGCCCGAAATTCACATCATGCAGAACTTCAACGACTTCGAGTGGAACGCAAATGAAGCCTTCATTTCAGTTCTACGTAATGATTTTTATTTATCGAGATGCATAGAAAATCTCCTAGAAATAGAATTTTAGAGGTAATTTCTGGAACTCCTATCTTTCCGATGTTCAAAATACGAGGGTTGAATGAAAAGTAATCCCTCCACGTCCATTATTTTTACCAGATAGCGCTAGTAGCGTGAAAAGTTTTGACACGTTCTGTGACTCAGTGTCTGGCGCCCCAGTCATTAGCAAGTCGTTAGAGTGAACGTTTATTTTTTCGTTGCAGTTGAAATGGAGACTTCCCATGACCCACTCGTCATCGCGATTTAAGCAACGTGCTGTAATCGAATTTTCGACCGTGGAAGGAGTGGCTCCGATTGATTTTGATCGACGAATGCAGGTTGTTTATGGTGATGAATGTGTTGACGAAAGCACCGTGCGTCGTTGGGTCAAAAAGTGTAACGATGCTGAACCAGAAAAAAAGGATTTGTGTGACCAACAGCGAAGTGGGAGACCTGTGACGACAAGCTACGAATCTCACAAGAATCGGGTTGATGACTGCATTAAATATTAAATGCGCCGATCTTCTTTAATCAAGTCATCAACCCGATTGCAACATGTGTGGAATAGAGTTCCTAATGTCATTTTAAACTAATACAAGGAACTAGCCGACCCGTGGAAGATTTCCACAAATTTCTGGTCGGCCAAGGCCAGGGGTGCCAAACTGCCCGCTAGTCAATTTTGTCCGGCCGGCAAAGTCATCTCCAACATTGGGTTTTGGAAAATTATAGACTATTTCAACCCGTTAGCAATTGAAACTTAGGTTTAAGATTTGCTATGTGGACCCAACCACACCGAAAGGATTCCATCCTAGCTCTTTAAGTTAGTGTTTATGGACTCCAATGAAGTCCCCATTTCAAACACTTCCTAAGGCAACATACGGATGTCCATGAGAAAATACGTTATTCCGTAAATGCAGTACATATGTAGTATTTGAGTGGCTCTTGGTCCCGGAGAGCGGGGCAACACTGGGGGGAGTGCCGGCATGGCTGGAAGCGGAAAAAAGTACAGGGGAAGCGCGCTGCATGTGCATGGCGGAGGGCAGGTCGGCTCGGCGAGGTCGTGTTGCAGGCCGTTGCATTGACCGGGACCGGATTTGGAGCCCCGTGATTCCCGTTCGCCTCCTGGTTCAGGATTCGCCTCCTTCCAACGCGTGGGACCGTGATCGGACTGTGATGAGACTGTGATCATACTGTGAAGAGACTGTGATCGCTTATCCCCACCTACACGCCACTGCCTTGCCGCTTCTTTATCTGTATTTTATTTTCTTTTTCCTTTTTATATTTTATATCCTTGGCCTTGTGGCTATTGGCATGTTATATGTTGTTACCCCCCCCTTTTGAGTGGCCCCTTTTAACTATTTATCTTTTATAGGCCTAAGCTTTATCGTCTTTTTACAAAAGCTCTTTTGAAAGTTTTAAATATATTATCAGGTTTAGAGAGGGACTGATCTTTCATTGAACCACGTCCTCGGTGCAAGTGAGATTCCAACTACACCTGGAATGGGCCACCCACATGGGTTGGCTGGGTAGGCGTCACAACTGGCGCAGTCGGTATAAGTTCATTTGATTTTTCTTTGCTTTGAAGCTCACTTCCCGAGGATACGTGGTTTAAATATGGCATCTAGATTTCGTATAGAGATCCCAGTTTTCAAGAGAAGTCAGGATGTGAGAGAGTATCGAGAGAGGGACTGATCTTTTATTGAACCACGCCCTCGGTGCAAGTGAGATTCCAACGACGCCTGGAATGGGCCACCCACATGGGTTGGCTGGGTAGGCGTCACATTTAGGACATCATTTTGTAAAAGGTGTTTTTTTAAGTTTCAACTCATATTAATCATCCGTATATTACCTAGTTAACCTTTGTGAAAAGCTAGTCTAAAAAAATCATCCCAAAATTGCCAAAAAAAATCGGCTTCGAGAAGGAAATATAGATTATTTTCCTGATAATCTGCTGAGAGAAGACCAGATTCAGCTACGAACCGTGATTGAACCTCGGTGGTAGAGGACTTTGAAACTGCCGATTGTTTAGGTCATGTAAATATTTACATGAAGTGCGTCTCACTGCATAAGAGGAAGAATACCTTAGTTGCAGGCCCAGAAAACAGTGACCCATGGTAGGCCGCCGCATAAAAGTCGGATTACGGACCAAGCATGGCAAATTTCCTTCGTCCTAACCAGATTTTTAGTCAGTCTTCTTTACTCGGTTTTTTTTGCACAGGACCTGGTCTTCAGAGCGACCGAAGAGCCTTCAGAGCGATCGAAGACTCTTTTTTTCAGCGCGAGGTTAGAGCGAGGTCAGGTCATACAAAGATGCCTCCTCAAAAATATTATCGCTTAATCGTCAGAGATAAGGGATTCAGTCGTTTGGAGACTAAGACGGAGACATTGCATAATGATGGTATACACGTTGCAATTCACTTTCATCGCGCAAGAATGTGTGTACGTACGCGTGTCAAAGTCTTGTTTACCTGGACTTTCCTTTTACCGCAGTATATTGTATCAAACTGAAATGAGAACAAGCTAAACCGAGAAGCCAGAAATATATTCGATGGAAATGTGCCTTCCCCTGGCATTTAAAACTTTTAACAGAGGGAATAAAAAAAAGATCTGATTTCTTACTCTGAAAGTCGTACCATTGCAAAATCAAGGAAGTTGGACTTGAAAGAAAGACATTCAACGTTGAACAACTAAGAGGCAACAGTCGCGTTTCTTACGTCAGTCTCTCTTCCGCTATAACTTCATTAATTTTTTTGCATAATCTGAATTACGCACGGTAATGAAAAGTGAAAAACTTATTTCAAATTTAGAGATCTATGCCTTTCCCGATTTAAGGAATCGAGCACATGCGAATCCGTCGTCACACGTGATCGAGTGCTTATCAGGGCGGAGAGTGGGAGATAAGGATGTGTGCATTGCTTATGCGTCGAATTGCAGGCGATACGTACCGCTGCCATGGCTGCAGCGCAGCTTGTCGGTCCTCTGTTATTCTACTGTTTTTTTGCGGCCTTCATTGTCCTCGGAATCGTGGGAGTGACGGGCGGACTCGGTGGCTTCGGACTCGGCGGAATAGGACTTATCGCCCTAGGAGTCTTGTCGATGTCGGTGCTCACCGCACAACTCATCTACTCGAGAAAGAAATGGCGTGGAGTGGTGAGTGTCATACCATATCTGGGAGATATCATATACCATATTGTGAATGGACTGAACTGAGGTTGGCTGAAATAAGAGATAAGTCCTTAAACACTTGAAGAAACCTTTGAAGGGTTACTTCTCCCTCTCTCAAAGATGTAATCCATAGACCTATTACTGTAATATGACAAGTAGATTAATTGTTAGTTACTTAACGGTAAACTCTTTAACCATTGAAAATTAAATATTGTGTAAATTTAATGGTATCTGGCAGATGTGGAATACTGCATGTTCGGGTCTGATGGGATTCCCAACAAAATGCCGTGTTGAAATACCGAAACTTTTATGAAGGGCACTATGAATAGCAAAGTGGTTATGGTCAGACAACCAATGTGGCATATGTCCACGATTAAGATATATGACACTTCTGCTTACTTTCACCATCTAAACTTACTCAGAGGTGGTTACACGATGCTATGATAACAAGTACGGGCAAATGAATCCCCAAATATCGTTTTACACACAAGTTCATGATGAAGGCATAGGCATATCATGTGCATTATTGTACTTGATCGTCTAATGTTTGCCCCTCCGCCAGCACGAAGAGTCGCTCCCAGAGCACTGTTTGGTGATAGGAAATTTGTCCAGCGAATTCTCATGTATATTACTTTCTTTCTGCTAAACCTTGTTCCGAAAACGGAAACACATGAGTCGCTCTGGAAGCCAGGTTCCACGCATAAGGCCGGGTTAAAAATACGGATGAAAAAACTGGTCTGTGCAACAACCTTCAAATAGTAAAACTTTATATATATTTTTAATTTAAAGTTAATGTGGGACATATATTTAAGAAAAGGGCGAAAAGGTCTTTATTATGGGACCTATTTCAGCTGTCTATACCAAATAGAACAATTACTATGAGCACTTACGTGATGATAACTAAACCCAAAAATGGTGTATTTTTGCTTCTCTCATTTACTGTACCTCAGAAAGTACTTGATCTAAAGAACTGCAATTTGGTTTCAGGTGGTTTCTTCAATAACCCCTAGGAACTCATCAAATTTATATGAATCAGAGGAGGTCACCTTAATTGGGTTTTGATTTAAAATAGAATGACCGCTTATCGAAAAGGTTTCATCATTTCATTTAATAATCTAATACTTTAATTCGAAGAGGTCAAAAGTTGTGGTGGTGGTCGTGGCTGCCACCCCCAACGCGCGGGCCTACGATGCAATGCCTTCGTGGGTCATAGCCCAGGCCATTCGCGGCCTGAAGCGCCAAGCTTGCAAGATTACGCCTTTCCAGTCCACATCTAATACTTAAATTCAAAGAACCCGAGAGTTGTGGTGGTAGTAGTTGTCACCCCAGCGCGCGAGGCCTACGAGACTATGTCACTTCGGGCCATAGGCTGGGCCATCCACCCCTCAAAGCGGCAGGTCCTTGAGGCTATACTTTTCTAAGTCATAGGCTTGGCCATCCTACGCCTATAGCGCCAGCTATATCAGTCTGAGCCATAGGCTTCATACTTAGCTGTGGCAATCAAAGGTTAGTAATAACTGAATGCGTGTCACGTTTTCACTGATCGACTGCAAGTTCTCCATTTAAATAGATATTTTGCTGAAGTGTTTTTTTTTCTGTATTTACTTTTTCCCGTTAGGTCAGGCGTGGCTGTTCGGAACATCGCATCCATACAATAGTTTCCTGTTAGTGTTTCATGTCATGGTCGATTAATTCGAGTTCTCATGATTGATGAAATCAAAATAATTACGTAAGTCCCTTGTTTCATACGTCGCCCAAATGGGCCGCTTATCCCATCAAAATGGTGGCGATTTTTGCGAGGTGAGGTTGAACGTGAAAGAAAAATGTTTAAAGACGTCCCACAGGAGGACGATGAGGCAGTCGCTGCAGATAATAAACGGTTGGTGCTGGCTCGGAAAAAATCGTTTGCCACTGCATTGCAGTACGAAGTGCCTAAATCGGTGCTAGCCGTAATGGCTGGAATCGGTGATGAACAGCAAGTACATGTACATAGGGAGCTCAGGGCCGCTCAGACCGCTGAACAGCAAGTGGCAGCGAGTGCTGAGCTCCGGAATAGGAGAGCCGTGCAGCCAGCTATGCATCTCGATGTAAGGTTTGCATTTTCAGGAAATAGTCTTTAGCATTGTGCTACACATGCAATAACATCCCTCTGTGCCGTCGAACAAGTTCTTGGAAACGGTCCGTACTGTTTCAGAATCATTGGTGTCTGTACCATACGCTAAAGCTAATGGCCGATTAGCTAATCGGTGATGCAAGAGTGTTGAGTGTGCTAGGAAGACGAAATCAGCAATGTCGTCTTGAGTCTCATAAAAATGTGCTAAACCAAGGCGTTCACAATGGTGATTGTGACAATCAGCTCGAATATCATGATGATGGTGCTTAGGAGCAGAATCTGCCTGTGTATTGTAAGCTATATTTGTATAAATGTAATCAAACGGTTCAGTTCTGAATGGGTAATGCAATGAACAGAGGATTGTGAAGAAGAAGTTATACTCAAAATAGACAATTCAAATTTCCACATACTAGACGGCCAGCGTAGGGGCCGCAGGCCGCTAGTATCTTTATAAAAGAGAATTTACTTGGGATTTTAATGGCTAATATGGAGGGAAACTTGAGGGGGAATGGATGGCGAAGTTGAATGGAAACCATAGTAAGCCTTGTTAGTAGGAATAGGAATACACCAGATAATTCTAGCAAAATATGTCGAAAAGGCCAACTATTTGAGTCGTTTCTCCACAGCAGCGCAACATGGTGGCAACTTCAGGAGGGTTTGTTATTTCCGGGTATACTGGACATGCAGGCAGAGCTCCACCTTTTCCTGTGGAACAGCTGGAACTCCAATTGCCACAATCTCGCGAGTCAACAGGCATCACGTTCTCGACTTGGTCACCACCAACAAGAACATCATCGCACGCTCAGCGGATACAAGAGCCAAATCGACCAGAACCCACGATGACTGAACTCGACCTCCCGCCGCCTTATGAGCAAGCGATTCGTGATTCCACGGGAAGCAAGCATCCAATGGACACTTCTTGATTCCGTGTGGAATGGATGAAATGAAGTGCCTGGCATAGTAGTTCATCTGCATTTTGTAGAACACCTTCCTAAGAAGACATTTTATGGATGCAGATGACGCAGATGTGCTAGCTCCATACAATCGAGAAATGTTTTTTTTTACATGATAGTTCGAAGACTTACCACAATTTTCAGCAGAATTTTGCCCATGTGTCTCTGAGTATGTGCAGAGCTCTTCTTAACAAATTCCCGAAATTTGCTCATATCTCCCTAAATTCTCTCATCCGGGCAAAAGAAAAGTCCATTGGAGACCATTGGACTCCCCTGGGTATGTTTCACAGCATTGCTCTCTCGTAATATTTTTAGCAAATTCTACAAATGATACGTGTCTTCCTGGACATATATCTAAAGAACGAAAAACGAATTTGAAATATTTTGTTAGTTATTTATGGTATATAACCTGGCGTTGCCCGGGATATTTTTTTAGGAGTAATATAGCTGTTGTTCGTTTATGTGCTTTTTTTTGTGTTTCCTTGTCTAAGTCCGGCCAGACCGACGGGGACGGGAGCACTGCTCTGGCCATTTTATTTTTATTTGTTTTTTTCTTATTTTTTAAAAGTTGTTCTAAATTAATTCTTAACTCAAAGGGGCTCTTCTTTCACAGAAATCTAACTTAAATGAGTTTCTCAATGATATTNAGGGTGTCCCTCCACAGTTGCCCCCCTCTTTCTTCTCTGCCAACTCTTGTTTGGTTGCCAGGAATAATAACTTGGGACTTCGCAATATAAAAGTCCACTGGCAAACTCGTCAGACTGGCAGAGTTGAAAGAAGGCAGTGAGCGTGGTGGCTGGAGGAGTCTGAGCTCTTTCCTCTGCATTTCCCTCGTGGAAGAAGACCCTTTACCCATTCTCCAAGTGAACACTCAGATGAGTCACTGGGGTAGCGCTCATGAATTGGGAACTCCAAGGCTCTCCAAACTGCCTCATTGCTACTGATGTAGCGACCCATCTGATAGCATGTGATCTCATCGTTGGCATTGACTGGAGCCCCGCCCCTCTGCAAAGCAAACACTGCTTGGTCACTACCTTTGTTGACATATTTGCAGATGTACTTGATTGCCTTGATAGAGTTGCAGAACTCGACATTGATGTGGGCATTGAAAATGCGAGACAGGAGGGGGCTATATGGAACAACCCACCTGTTGTCATATTCGTTGTTGCCTCTTTTTACTGTAAAACCCCCATGCTGAGGATCTCGCCTCCTGTAGAGAGGATATCCGTCATCTCCAGTCTGTGTCTCATGCACAAACTCCCTGGGATATCTCTTGGAGCATTTGCGGTTCTTCATGCATGGAGAGTCCCAGTTCAGTGGTCCGCAAGGGCCGTGAAGCATGTGCCTGGACACAATCTCAAAGAGGACTAGATCTGCCTGCTTGTCAGGAAGTTCAGCACTAATGCAAGAGTCAATCTGGTTGGACCGAATCTTGTCTTTGAGCCAAAGGAGGATGTGGGAATGGGGAAGACCCCTCTTTTGCCAATTAATTGAGTACATGTAGCACCTCACCTCACCAAAGACTTGAGCTTTCTGGTTCTTGAGAAGGCTCATCAGGATGATCAACTTTTGATGAAACACTCGCGCCTCCAGATCTGTTCTATATTCTGCTTTTTGGCCTGGTAGCAGCTCTGCAGTAATTTCCGGCAAATTTGGATTGCAGGTGAAAGTGATGAAGAGATCTAGAGTGCCATAGTTTCTGACATAAGTCATGGCATCCTGAGTCCTTTCCTGCATGTAGCGTGGTCCTCCAGTAAAGGAGGAGGGAAGGATGATCAAGTCGCTGGCGCCTCTCTTCAGAGGTCTCTGTCCTCCTTGCTTGGGAGGAGGAGCTTCGCCCCAGCCTGAAGGCTTTCTTGGGCGGCATTGTTAGTGTGTTGTAAGAAACCACAGTAGATCACTGGGTACACTTACGGAAATGTCCTGTAGGCAAACCTATAGTCATTTCTTATAGGCAACCTATAGACTTTCCTATAGGTTTTTGAAACACGAAAAACCTATCCTATAGGATCCTATAGGATGCCTATAGGGTCTTATAGGTCTATAGGATTCGGGGAGGATTTTTTGGGTTTCAAAACCCAGGCATTTCGACGGAAAAGGCGACCGGGATTAATATTGGTGCAGCATATTGGTGTAAATCAAATTCCGATTATGTGCTTTTCCATGGTAGGGACACTTGCATTATTACTAATAATACCATTACTGCGCGAGTCTGTTTAATTTATGGCCCCGCCCTACATATGTCGCTGGATTGCACGTCCACGTCCTTCGGTACGGTAGAAAGAAGTAGCATTATTCTCTCGACCTAAGGAATTGGAAGACAGAACCTGCGAGCACGTCACTTTACTGAAACTCCATTTGAATAGAATCTACTCATTCTCGTACGTGGTTTTCAAAAGGAATAAGGGCATATTTCTTGCCTGGACTCCATGATTCTATCTGGAAGATGGGGATGACAAATAATGAAGTGTCGAAGTTTATTGATTGCTACAATGAGGCAAGGCGAGACATTTGGGGATCTACAAAACTCTCTTCTGAGAGATGATTCCTTAGGTAAGGGGAGGGCACTTTTCTGCCCTTTGAGAAATGCGAAAACCCAATACTTCCATCTAGTGGCCTAGAGGTGAACTTCACACGGAACCCTATAGGTCCTATAGGTCCTATACGGTTCCGTATAGGCACTATAGGGAACTCTATAGGCCCTATAGGGAACCCTATAGGTCCTATAGCGAACCCTACAGGTCTTATAGGGAACCCGTCGGGTCCTATACAGAACCCTTTGCGTCCTATAGGGAACCTGTAGGCCTTATGGGGAGCCCTATAGGTTGTATAGGGGGCTCTATAGGTTCTATAGGGAAGTCTATAGGTTCTATAGGGGACTCTATAGGTCCCAAACTGAACTTTATGGGGCCTATAGGAACCTATAGCGCTAATCTTAGGTTCATCTCACAGTCATCAGTTCATGCCTTGGCCAAACTTCATTATTTAAAAGAATCTCCTCCCTATACTTACAATGTCAATTAGGCCTGTGAAGGTATATATGGGAATTTTTCAGCCATTTCCCGTATAATGAGTAACGTAAGACCGATTATGACCTTGTTTCGAGCTCCATGTACCATGTCAGTGCTGCTGTTTGACGATATGCCCATCTCATTTTTTCATGAAAATTCTCGACTAAATCTAAGGAATGATATCTGTGCACGATATCTCCACAGGTCATCACGTCCTATGAACACGGCGCAAAAATGGATCATGCATTAGAAACTGCCAGACATCGATAAGAAGCGCGAACCATTCATAAAACGTGTACCTGTATAATATAAGAGAACTTAGAAGCATTGATAAGCTAGAGTTGAAATGAACTTGAGATTTACGAGCAAACCACTTTCACAATCCTTTTGGCCTTGTATGTCCTCCCCATCAGTCTCGGTTCGTTCGGAATTTGGAGCATGAAATGCTTCGTGAGGTATAGGAATCAGCTGTCGTCTGTGGTTACGGGCGCTTTCGCCGCGGCCACAATGGCCGTGGAAAGTTCGTCGCGCACAAAACGTCGCATGCACTTTTGGTCGTTTCACTATTTCGTCGCAGGAAAGATGGGATAGGAGTGAAAGCAAGGTGAACAAAAAATATAAGAAAGAATAGGGCCCCTGTGCTCTTTATGGGGATCAGCTGGAAAAGGGAAGGGGAGGCAAATATATCAAAAGGCAAATAAAAGCTTGACTATGAAGAGTAAACAGTCGAACCTCGTTAATACGAACTGAAGGGGGACTTAATATTTGCTTGTTATGTAACGGGCCGACGCCCTTCCAGTCGTGTCACGGTGCAACGGGCCACCGCCCTTCCAGACATGTCGTCCGGGGAAAGGAAAAGGAGGCATGCTGATTGAGGAGACGGACGGAAGTCGGGGTGATAAGCTGAGGAGACAAGGGGAAAACGTATGAGGGGGACATTATCTCAGGGATGCCGGATCGAGATCACCATCCCCGCCTTTCCAGAGGTGACCTCCAGTCAGGATCCGGAGGACAATATCTTCGGACATCCCTTTCCAGAAAACCCATGTCGCAATCAATGGTTTATGAGACAACCTCATTTCCAAAACCATTGGCTGGACAGGTACATGTTCGGAGATACGGACCAAGAAATTAATGAAGATGATTTTGTCCTCGAGTGCGTTCCCCAATAAGGTCTGTTCCTGGGGATTGAACAACCAATGGGCGCAAGCTACCAGCCAAGAATCCCTCCTCCAGGAACCTCCTCAGCCACCCTGAAGAAAAAGGAAGAAACTTCGTCCGAGAAGACCAGTCCCAAGAGAAGCGAGGGGACTCGGCCCTGCCCTTGATAGTGGAGTTCTTCCCTCCTCAGTCCGACTAGAGTGTTAGTGCCCCAGTTCGACCCTTAAGAGTAGGTCTCCCGATAGATTCGAAATCTCTCTCTCTCTTACGCGCGTTTGCCCAGGAACCGGGTAGCTCCTTATTTGTTTGTGAATCTCATAAACTAACACTTTTTTCTTCTATATACTTTTGCTGAACAACCAGGTAACCTTTACACACTTATGTAATAAATTAATTATCAGACTCGGTTGTGGGATATTTCTTTCTCGGCCGTGAACAGGCACGAACTTTTCCTCCCGAAGGAAAAAAGAGTTTCTGAAAGGATAGTTGTCAGGCACGGGACGCTAGGGAGCGAATTTGATCAAATATTCATTGTCTGTACTTAACAACCTGCCGCAGCGCCCCGTGCCCGTGACAGTTATCAGTGGGGTAGACTGTAATGCTGAGTTGACAGGGGAAAGAAAATACAGTTCGTGGTAACAGTAATTCGTGTTAAGCGTGTTCGCGTTAACGAGGTTCGACTGTATTTATACTGTAGAGAGGCGAAGTTTCGGTAAGACAGCATGGCGATGTGAATTCTGAAGTTGGAAGGGTAAGATGCACACAAGAAATGAAGTAGTGGCCAGGTCCGACCACAAA